CAACTTTAGAGAATAGGCGGGAGTTTCCCAATACATATTTAACCGTATACGTTATGACATTTCTAAATATAAATTTAATTTCTACAAATATCGATATTAAAATAAATATAGTATAATAAATCCGTCACATTGACAATTAACTCCTCAATAAGATTCCACTTAGATGTTAATTTTTTTATATCTGTGGTACTTCTGGAAGCTCTATTATTTTGTTTAAAACACAAACTCCAAGCCTACAGTGCTGAACTAGCTAAATGACTTGCTGACTATAATCAGTCTAACTAACTTGTTTAATTTGCATATTATATCATTCAAATAATTATATTTGTCATAAGATATTAATATTAGACCAATTATATTTTAAACACTACATTCTTTATCTAGTCTTCCTCGCTGGGTCCAACGTTAGCTAGTGTATTTCTCTCATCATGAATAGAAATGGCTCGACACCTGCCCCGCTGACTTCTTACTTGTCCTTTACAGAAGGTATGTGGACGACACATTTATTCTTTCACATAATCAAAATCACAGCTCAAAAGTCTTAGAATACATGAACTCACAACATCCTATCATTAAATTCACATGCGAGGTTTGAAAATAATGATAACTTATATTTTTAGATATCCTCATTAACCGTAACTTTAATGCATTTTGTACATCAATCTACAGAGAAAAAAAAAGACGTTTATTGGACTCCTTACACAATTCGACAGCTTTACCCCGTTCATATACAAAAGAAATCAGAGCTTGCAACCTATGTTTCACATATTTTAATCTACACTTTTAAATTTCTTTCATATACGATACTCTTAAACGTAATGCCTACCCACAATATTAAAAAAAATCAATACCTTTCTAACTAAGAAACTCACACATTCAATTAGACTACCAAATGTACATAAATTCATTATATACTATTGTCTTTCATACATTAGTGCCCTCCAGTGGCATGTCAGCGGACTAAAATCGCTAGAAATCGGGTTTCGATACCCGTGATGGGCAGAACACAGATAGCCCTTTGTATTATTTTGTGCTTAATAATAACAACATCCATACATTAGTAAAGAAAGCTTAACTTTGAAAAGTCAAATTAAGCGCATAATTATTAACCCCCAGTTGAATCCAGATTAGTTTTTAAATCCACATCACGCATATGGGACTTTTTTGAACTAAAGATCTTCTCCTAATTTCTCTTTGTTCATGGCTTGTATATTTTTAGACTTATGGAGACGTAAGGCCTTCTATATTGGCAAAACTAAACGTCTTCTAATAGTTAGAGCCAATGAATATATGTAAATTTCCATGAAAACAAAAAAGTTGAATAACTCTTGTGCTTCTTCTATACGCCAACACAGTGAAGAAAGAGAACACGAACTTATCAAACTTTAATACCAAGGCCAACACTGATCTGGAATTACTGATTAAAGAAACCGTCGACATCAAACAGCATTATTCAACCTGGAATAACTACAGTCTTCATTTAAATTGCACATTAGTTAATATGCCCAGTATTTTTGTTGTTACTCCTCTACTTTCCATGTTTTCTAGGTTTGATTAAATTGTCGTTAATGTATTTTAATTATTTACTTATATGATGTAATTCTTTATGTTTTTGCTTTAGATACTGAAGATGGAATCTGGAACATTTATTTGCATACCTTTCTGCTATAAGTAAACGATGTTATTGATCTTAAGTATCGTTATCCATTTTATTGACTGTTTGTCAGATTTGAAAGTCCGGTATCTCATTGTTCTTCCTGTCCTTGTTCTGTACGAACGTTTAAGAAAAGTCTCATCTTCACCCAGCAACCAGTTGAAGTCATCGGAAAGTAAGAAGCCGGTCAGTTGGTGACAAACATGTCCACTTTGGTGAATAGAAGATTTGATTTTTTACTCGCTTGTGATTATATGATTTTCCTTTGTTTACCATTTTAGTTTAATTCTGAATTATTGAGGATAACCCGAATATCACAAAGGACGATCTACCTACCAAAAGCAGATCTCCGCGATAAATTCAATATCCTCGCATGCACTTTAAAGAATTAGTTGTTACAATTAATAGTTTATTAATTCAGGAACATAGAATGTGTTATTTTTATACAAATGTTTTTAAAACAATGCTATAGCTCTTCAAGCAATATACTTTATTAAAAAAGGAGTCAAATTACAATATGACAGCAATAACACAAAATTACACAGTCAACGACAAAAAACAAGATATAATATATTATAAAACATTTTCAGTTGAAACTATGCTGATTTTAAATATTTATCTCGTCAACTTTGTTTTGTAACATCACGTACAAGACTCCCGGTGGCTCATTTGTAAATCTGTAAGAACTTATAACACTAAAAATTCGCGTTCGATACTAGCAGTAGATAGCACAGATAACAGTTTCTCTAGCTTTGTGATTAACGATAAAGAAATAAACAAAGCATAAAAAGTCATTACTTCTGTAACGAATGTATTTATGTTTAATATGAACGTTGCTTAGACTAAATTTGTATTTAAAAATAGTGTCAGATATGTATTGCGTATAACGAATTTGTTATATATTTATTTTAATGACAACGTTTGTTTGGAATGAGTTTATATTTAAAAACGTGCCTAGCTTACTGTGATAGTTACATATGGCGAAACTCCCGCCAATTCTCCAAGATTGTAGAATATTCGTGAACGCAAGAATCGACAATATATCCACTTCCGTAACTGGTTGAATATAGTTCAGTATTGTTGTCCGAACTTTCGAGAAAAAACATTTCTCGCACATATAAAAAGACCAAGGCCAAAGAAGAGAGCTTATAAGTCCGCTAGGAACCTGTTATAACCGTGTAAGCTATAAACTGTGATTTTGCGAACCCTTATCAACCGGAAAATATACGACATTTGACCAGGAACAGTTATAAATTTCGAACGTCAGTGGATTCTAATCGGATGTTAGTATCTTTCGGAAAGTATTACTGAATTCTCATCGAACATTAGTGGTTTTATGAAAATATTATCTCACTTCGACTGTCCAACAATTCAGTGTCTGACAAAGCTAGCTAGCTTCTCGGCAATTGTACGTACATCGACTTCAAGTTAACTTGCTGGATATCAAATAGTCTCTGAACTATAAAGAAGATTCTATGTTGTTTGTAAGTTAGGGAAATTGTTGTTTATAAAACTTTGTTTATGGTAATTATTTGTAATAATTGTTGTTGTAAATTGTACTGGTGTATATATATATATATATATATATTAAAATGTATTTGTGTGAGAAACGAAAAACGGTGTGTGTCAATCTCGTTGGCATATAGCGTAAATTAACTAAAATATCGGCTTCGGGCTATTTCAAATTCGCAATACGTAACACTTCAAAATTTTGAATAGTCGTAAAAACAGTTTTGTACTGAAACTATTGTTGAGTTATGGAATAATTGGTTAAATCAGAGTTTTAGTATTTCCCTGTAAAAATATGTAAATATCTTCTTGGTGTGCACTCTTAATAGTAGTTACGTTTTCCAAACTCGGCTGATCATTGTTCTATCCGATTAACCAGTTACGTACGAGTGTAAGTATTAGTGTACATTATAATCATCTGCACCCATCTGTTGATTTTGTACTTAAGATACTGTCGTTAACTGGTTTTAATTTTTGAACATGCATACATTTAGTAGTATGCCAATTTTGAGTTTTTATGATATCTAGGACAACCATGTGGCTCATGTTTCATTCTAGGTATAAACGGGAAACTGTTGAACAAATGATTAAAATTAAGAGGATAACCATACCAGTACTCCATTAGTATTAGGGTAGCAGCTTCCTGCTATATCGTCTCTTGTAAACCTCGACTTTAATAAACATAATATTGTATTAAAGCATATAAAGCAGCAAAACAATTTTTTACCTAACTGACACGGTCATTTTAAACACTCCATAAATCTCCTAAAACTTATTAATTTAGCTGTTTGGAAACATTAATGATTATTTTTCAAAAGATTAATACAACTATTTCTGTAAAGTTAGAAAATTCTTATTGAAATGGTTGCAAATTTGATTCCTCTGTTATACCATAAACCTTTTTCAGATGGTCAAAAATATCTTTCTTCTCTTGAGGTGGCAAAAAACAAGACCGGGCAGCATTGAAATGCTGAAAATAATAATTAAATTTGGTATTGCTTGATCCAGAACGTAACAATTTCAATATTAGAGCGGTACGTGTGTTACAAACATGTGTTAAGAATTATATATTTATGATTAGTAAAAACATATCTCTTTCTATTACTTTGAACAACGGAATAGGTAAGATAAAGTAACTTTATTTAATATAACTAAATAATAACGTCCTCAAAATAAATAAATAATTACTGCATTTCAGCTTTATTCGTATGAATTGAAGTTTAATTATAAGTGTTGCATAGTTTATATGAAATGCGTACTAAGAATACAAAATCTATGATTCTAAAGCCTCTATTGACGAATTTTCAGGATTTTTCCTTCCAAAAGAAAACATTTTGCATCTTTTTCACATACACAAAGTATTAGCTATTAACAAAATTATTATTTTCATTGTCTTCATTTTAACCTCGACGTATAATTTCAGATTATTGGGGGTTTTGATGTACAGTAATGCTACCAAAGTTTAAGATTAGTATTTGTTTAGCCATTTTTCATTATTCTGAATGCATCTGTATACTTACTGCTCGAATAATATAGAAATCCTCCAGTCCTTTCTGTTGGAGCAAACGATATTCGTCATCTAGTGTCGTTCCAGTGAGTAAAGGATCGTCTGTGCTAATTGAGAAGTTGGCATTGTCCTCGGCAAACCTATAAAGATTGAAGCAATTAATTAAAAAAGCCCCTAATTTTGACCTAAAACAATATGAAAACAGTATTAAAAATATCGTCTAGTTATAGTTAGCACAAGTTTTCCGGTTAATGTATGATATTTTAATGAATATATTTATATTCGCATCAGCCTCTTAGCCGTTTAAAATTATGAAGGATTTCAGTGGATCTGTGCTCGATATAGTCGTTTACGTGTTTATTATAGTAGCGAAGTATAGTCACTAGAATGATAAGAAACATTAATACTTACAAATTAAACTCAAAATAAATAACAAAACTGAAGTGTTATTGAAAAGAGATGTCCCTTACTTGACAATCGGGTGTTTAATACAATTTGCAGGAACAGCACCAGTAAGGTAGCTACTATGAGGGCACGTTTCAAAATGAATACCCTTCTTCAGTAGGTCTTGGTAGAGTACTTCGTCATCGACAGCCCTGTACCCATGACCGATTCTTTCTAATTGGAGGAATTTCACGTGTCTATCAACACTACTAGGAGGTCCAGCTTCTCCTGTATGCGCTGTTCTGTGGATTCCTAATTGTGCTGCCCTCTGTTGGATGATAGTAGTAAAAAAAAGAAGACACACGAAATTTTATGTCAAGCTGTTGCTTTCAATACCTTGAAAATAAGCTTTATTGTTAGTTTTACTAATATTAGAAGCTCGTGGAAACTGCTTTGGATAACTATCTTTGTTATGTTATTGACTGCTGTGACTGATGGTGAATTTTAGATGGATTCCTTTTATGCGTCAGAGGAAAAAATAAGGAAACAAAAAGTTATTAAACTCAGATGAATGATTCTAAGAACTAATACGCTTGTTTACTTTAACACATATTGATACATGATATAACCACGTACGAAATATTAGATTTTACGATACGATAAACATTTACTTTGAGACGGTACTAGTATAATTTAGTTTTGTATCTGTATTTTACAGGAGAGTAAAGTGTAAATAATTACAAATCTCTTTGTTTAAACCTCTGTTTTTCACCCATCTTTGAAGAGTAGTAATACGTTTAGAGCTTAATTATATAATCCTCACATTTATCATGGTTGCTATTCAAGTTTATTTTTTAGCTGTTTGTTTGTTTGTTATAGAACAGTCATTTATATAATTGATTAACTCTACATGCAGGTCGTTGTTAAAAGAACTAAAATACATTAAAAACAAACGTCTTATTCGTTTCTAATCGTATGGTGTAAATACATTGTCTGATTACATTACTATCTAATCTATACGATTTCTAATTATAACATCTTTATAAGCTCTTGTAAGAATGATGCTTGAATGTAATTTATTCATGGCCAGGTGGTTAGGGTACTCGACTCGCAATCTGAGGGTCGCGGGTTTGAATCCCCGTCCCACCAAACATGCTCGCCCTTTCAGCGGTGGGGGGGGGTTATAATATGACATATTATAATGCGCGGTCAATCCCACTATTCGTTGGTAAAAGAGTAGCCCAAGAGTTGGCGGTGGGTGGTGATGACTAGCTGCCTTCCCTCTAGTCTTATACTGCTGAATTAGGGACAGCTAGAGCAGATAGCCCTCGTATAGCTTTGCGCGAAATTCGAAACAAACAAACAATCATCAACAAAAAGAACTTATAAATCTAATAGGAACATCTATCTATATGTAATATCTTACAGACCTACAGTATTTAAAAACAATAGAGAAAGAAGGCCTTCAGCTAATCATCACTTTTCAATTTTAGCTGGTTGCTGAAATTTAAAAACGTTTTATCCAACTTCACTTGTTCTGATACAGTTCAGTAAATATAAAGATAAGAAGAAAAGATTTATCTTCCTTTTTCTTCTCGCGGTACAATCCTCCAGGAAGTTGAAAAAAGAAATACTTCCCTCCTGTCTCCTCTTTATTGGGCTTTAGCTAACTAACCTTTCACTCAATGTTTGTCTTGAACATGGAAACATTACAGTGACAACTATATTACCAAGCGCCACAATACATACTTGAAATACTTCTATCACTTCCTTCCTTAATCCCTCTTCTCCCTCCAAATCCTGATTTGGCCCAAGCCAAGGCTCACTTAGTCCAATCCCAGCAACAGACTTGTCTTTGAATTCTTCACATAGTGACAAAACCTCACGAGCCTCATCTGAAAGAAAAGGGGTCGGAGAAGTTGTTTGCCAAGAAAAGAGCATAAATAACAAATTTTACCTTCTTGTGCATTAAATAATATGCACGAACTCAGAGTTTAAACACAACAGGAACGAGAAACATATAAGTAGATGTCTTGGGCTATAGAGATGAACAAAATTTCTTTTAATATTTGTAATAGACCTGAAAACCTACTTTTATTAGAATTATGCTGAATATGTTTTTACGTGATATCACGTTTTAGCAATTAGTATTACAACTACCTGAAATACTCGATTTTGTCGTAAAGTTGTCCTGTCCATAATTCTAAAAAAGACAAAATTTCAAAATTTTCGTCTAGTCCATTTTGAAAAAAGGGGGATATTCATTCTACATCCTCTCATTTCATTTTTGTCTCTGAGAAAGAATCCTTTAAACTATCTAGAATACCTTGAAAAACACGTTTAGTTGTTCTGTTTGTTATTAAGCGTTAATCTACTCAAAGGATTTCTATACGTCCTGTACCCACTACAAGTATCGAAACCCGACGTTTAGCATTATAAGCTTACACTTTTAGTTCTGAATCAATGTTTAGAAATAATTTACCATAGTGGGTCACCTGTAACTTTACGGATTTACAATGCTAAATTCAGAGATTTGATAATCCGTGGTGAATAGAGCGCACATAACTCACTGTGTAGCTTTGAGTTAAATAAACAACAAACAAACAATAACGGGTTGGGAATGGCCCATTGTTTAGCGTACTCAGACTGTGAATGCGGCGGACTCATGGTTTATGCACTGCTGCCGAAAAAACACGCTGCACATTTAGGGCCATGGGTGTACTTTAAATATGTTTGGAATTAGGCACAAAGCTACACAATGGGCTATCTGTTCTCTTCCCACCACGGGTATCGAAACGCGGTTTCTAGCATTGTAAGTTCGCAGACATACCGCTGTGCCAATGGGTGGCTGCACAATAAGAGTGATGGTCAAATCCCACTATTCAGGTAAAGTTTGAGAACTCGGCAAGAACATCATGCTCCAGAGAGCTCTATTACTGTGATTTTGGTTAAATAAATATTAAACCTAATATAGGATTAGAAGATTAGTCTAACGTATATTGAATAATAGCGATTTTCCCTTACCAGGATTTTCTCTACCACAGTTGAGGAGCGAACGTGCTTTTATGCCATAGTCTTGTTCTGCCCGCTGAAACCCTTTCTTTACGAGTTCGAGCACCATTCTGTAGGTCACAGTTTCAAGACTAGTAAGACCATCGCTGTTCATCATGTTGGCCAGGTTCGCAGGTCGATAATGGACCTCACTGTATATTACACCTTCTCTGGCCTGTTGTTCGGCTATTTCGTAAGCTATCCGCTCAATAGCTGTACAGTTTCCTCTGAAGGAAGACACGAAACAGTTTTATTATGTTCCATGCTGCATTAATTATAATATTCCAAAAATTACACTCTTTACATAAAAAGGAACCTTTTCATGACTATTGAGAAATCATAT